GGAATCAGCAATAGTGCTACAGGGCACAGGCTAGAAATTTGCTCCAGCATAGAAAAATCTGATGTGTATAGAAGACATCTCTCATTCCTGAGATGCCTGGACTGACTGTACCACAGACAAAACACTGAACATCTCTTACTCAGAGTCCAGGTCTCAAACTGTATCTGAGGAGAGTACAGGATATTGAACACAGGTCAATCAGCTTCAGGTCAGAAGCCTGCTTTCTCTCAATTGATGAGGCTGCTTTGTCAGTGGCAGCAGATATTTTTAAAATAAGAATTGTGAAACAAAAAAGATAACATCCAACTCTAAACCAGATAAATTGTATTAAGACACAGAGTACCAGAGTTATGTAAGCTCTATTCTGCTACAGTTCCCAGACTTCATATACAACAATTAGTACAATTATCTGTGTGCACAGAAATAAGGAAGGAAGGAGTTGCAACTAATCAGAAGTCATCAAAACCAAGGAAGACCTAGTCAGATAAGTATGCGAGGGCCAGTAAACCACAAAATAATCAGGAAAGTTCTAGGACCAGCTGTATTTTCTCTAAGAACTATAATCCTGTCTGAAAGATAATATTTCCAAAGGAAAGCTGGACAGACCAGAGCTGGAAGAGATTATCTCATTTAAAATATCATGGCCTCATGCAGTTATCCACAGTGGCAGTGCTGTGGAAGGTACAGGTACTGTGGAAGGCCGTCAACAGGAGGAACAACTGAAAAAAATCTCTCAAACCCAAGAAAGTTTGAAACTTCCCTGAGGAATTGCAAAAAAAATCTATAAAATGTGAGCCAAACTGTTCATGCATCTTTTTGACTTTCACTGTTTTAGCTGAGACATGAACTGATTAAGTCTTGCAGTTGTGAGACCACTCAAAAAGCCATACCAGAAACATGCAGGAAATATGGAATTAGAAAACAAGAACATCATGAGACTATTAAGGAAGAAATAAACAGCGCTGAAATATTTCCTTCTAAATTCAATCGAAACATTCAAGTTTCAAGCCTTGAACCTGCTTCCCTGACCTTGGTAATATCAGCCACTAATCAGACCCACTCATTTCTTGTTCTGGAGGTGCTGTAATTAAAACTAATCTTTTTTTTTTCTAGTTCTACCTGGTCAGCAAAGCCTTGTTTGCCACCTCCACGGCACGTGTGGCAGCAGTATTTGTCTGAGAAGACTGGGAATGCCATAATACATTTTTGTCCTTGAAAGAATTCAGA